AATTAATGGGAAAAAAAAAAAAAAAAAAAAAAAAAAAAAAAGTTAGCCAAAGAATACCTTTAGTAGCATATTGTATGCTTCCAACAATCGGTTGGCAGCTGGCCCAAAGCCATGAAGCTGTGGAACCTCCATCATGTGTGTCCATGGACGAATTTCCTAACATAAAAGTGATAATCAGAGTCAATAGCAAAAATGAACATAGTTCCAACTCAAAGCTATCAAAATACTTTCAAGTGTTTAATAAAGAACAATAGCAAAAATGAACATAGTTCCAACTCAAAGCTATCAAAATACTTTCAAGTGTTTAATAAAGAAAAACATTCACTTAGGCTACCATATACTAGTTTAAACCGGACCACATTCAGCTTTTGAAAACGTAGATCAGATAGCAAATAGTTATTCTTCAAGGTGAATCTTGACATAATTAACAAAAACATGAAACAGAGTGCTTTTGGTTGTAGATCTCCAATATTTTGATAGTTGGTGCATAAAAAATTTAAGGATAAAGACTGAGATCCCACATCGGTTGGAGAGAGGAACGAAATATTCTTTATAAGAGTGTGGAAACCTCTCCCTAGCAGACGCGTTTTAAAACCGTGAGGTTGACGACGATACGTAACGGGCCAAAGCCTAGTAGCAGTGGGTTTGATCGGTTACAAATGGTATCAGAGCCAGTCACCAAACGGTGCGAGGTACTGGTTGAAGTAGGGCTGGACCCTGTTACAAATGGTATCAGAGCCAGTCACCAAACGGTGCGAGGTACTGGTTGAAGTAGGGCTGGACCCTCTCCATAGTAGACACGTTTTAAAATTATGAGGCTGATGATGATACGTAATGGGTCAAAATAGACAATATCTTCTAGCGGTGGGCTTGGGTTGTTACAAAGACTCCGACAATAGTAGAAGATGATATCAGATAAGATTCCACTAAATTAAGACAAACCTTGGTGTAAATAATGTTGAAAGATCTTGCTGTTTCAAGAAAAGATTCCAGGTGTGAACGCAATTGAGACTCGACTTCCGTATATTCCTCATCTGGGTTGTAAGCATGCTACAAAAGTAACATAATACTAATCACAAGGCATCAAAAGAAGCAACATTTAAAATAAATCTTTCTAGATTTAATACTATACCACAAAACTACCACCTCAAATCTAAATAAAAATTAAAACATAATATTTTTGTCTGCAATAACCAATCTATCATATTGCAGATTGGAAAGATCATAAAAATTAAAACATAATATTTTTGTCTGCAATAACCAATCTATCATATTGCAGATTGGAAAGATCGGAGCAGCAAAAAGACAGAAAGAAGTTGGGGAAAAAGAGGCAATAACTCACATTCACGATCGCCCGACAAACCAAAAAACTGAAAAACTGGTTAAAAAACAACCTGACCAACTATATTTTGGTCAAATGCCCGACAAACCAAAAAACTGAAAAACTGGTTAAAAAACAACCTGACCAACTATATTTTGGTCAAATTGACAATCGATTACATAAGTGGCCATATTTTTCCTAATTCGTTTTTATTTATTAAGACGTGCTGAAAATTAAGTGATGTTTCTTGAACAAAATACTGCATCTGCAGAGCAGTTCCCATATGAGAATAACAGCAGGGACAATTTTTCCTTAAGGTGAGAAAATTTGACAGAAAGTAGCAAAAACCTTTGATGCTAAATCATCAACTTTCTGTTGAAGATTCAAAAGTATCTTCGATTGTTCTGCAAGCTTGGTTTCCAGCTCAGAAACATCTGGCCTGGAAGGAAAAAAAAAAGAAGAAAATAACTCAATTAGGCAACAAAATGCTATAACATGAAATCAAATAGATTAAAAGATTGACCTCTGAGATTCCACACCAAAATTATGGTATATCATATAATAATAACTAGCAATTTAGAGTTAAAACTAAAATGTTTTAATCAATAAGAGCTTAAACTAGCAGAACAGCATTTGCAAGCACTATCTTTCATATAATTAAGTTGAGACAGCTTCCTCAAAAGAGGGGGGTATTCAGCATTTGCAAGCACTATCTTTCATATAATTAAGTTGAGACAGCTTCCTCAAAAGAGGGGGGTATTAAAATTCCCTAAACCAGATGAACATGGATCATTAGAACAGTGTACGGGTATGACAGTAGTTGGCAGGTTTACATATTGTTTATGATAAGAAAAAATAATGAAATTGGCATATTAACAAAATGAACCAAAATAAAGAAATGGGCAGATCTTAGCTCAAACTGACAATGTTTGGAGTATTTTGAACTATCAGAAGAAGAGAAAGGCAGGTCTCTACTTAGCGTTTGGATATGCAAAAAGAATTAACTGTAACAGCTCAAGTCCACCGCTTGCAGATATTGTCTTCTTTGGACTTTCCCTTTCAGACTTCCTCTCAAGATTTAAAAACGCGTATGCTAGGGAGAGGTTTTCACACCCTTATAAGAAATGTTTCGTTTCCCACTCCAACCAATGTGGGATCTCACAATCCACCCCCTTGGGGGCCAACATCCTCGCTGGCACACCGTTCGGAACCTGGCCCTGATACCATTTGTAACAGCCCAAGCCCAAGCCCACCGCTAATAGATATTGTCCTCTTTGGACTCTCTTTCGGGTTTTCCCTTCAAGGTTTTAAAACGCATTTGCTAGGGAAAGGTTTCCACATCCTTATAAGTAATGTTTTGTTCCCCTCTCTAACCCAATGTGGGATCTCACGTTAACAATACAAAGAAAAAAAATCAGTAGACATAGATTGATGTAGGAGGATCATTACAATGGATATATAGACTGAATTTGAACATCAGCAGGAAACAATTTGCATTCTTCTGAGAATATTTGAGCCTGTTTCTCGGCAATAGAGTCAATGAGTTGTATGTCTTTGGCAACTTGCTCATCAACACTGCAGAAAAATTAATGAAAAAACATTAATTTCCAAGATTCTTGCTCATTTATCAGAGGATTGAATAATATTACCAATACAAGCTAAACAAATGGCAACCTCCAATCTGGATTATCTGCATAGATGCTTGCCTCAACAAGATCGACAATAAGACGAATCATTTCAGTTCTCTCCTCATAGCTTCCCCGTCCCTGAAAAGTCAAGAGGAGTTAACAAGATGTCAAGCACATTCATACGGTGAAAATGTTTACAAAATCTGTAATCAAGTGGATACAGATCACTTAAATGCTTTATAAATTACACAATTGTGGCTCTGAAAACTCAGACAGAGGGCAATGATATTAGTGTTGTTGCATACATGGGTGTGTATAGACCCCCTCCTTGCACATTACATTGTGAAAGAAATACAATGCATCATGGATTGGTATGAATAATTGAGACAGGTTACTTAAATAGTGAGTTTAGTCCAAAATCTACAGTCAATACAGACGGATAGCTTCAATTTATTTTACTCATAGAAATAGTAGAAGCAATTCAGAAAACGAACTTGGATAACTTCAGTATCAATACTGGTTGTAATGCCCAGAAACTTCGCGATTTCTGCTAAATCTGCAGAATACAAACATTGGTTATAACACGGTTATTGATATAATGATATAGAAAAAATCAGTACCACAATTTAAATGTGAACAACAGCATGAAAATAAAGCAACAATAAATTTTAAAAAAATTCCCATATCATACATCATGTGGGGCGGCAAGATAAAAGAGCGATCACTGAACGATTATGCAAGAAAACCTTGTGGCTTTCATCATGTGGGGCGGCAAGATAAAAGAGCGATCACTGAACGATTATGCAAGAAAACCTTGTGGCTTTGGCAGTAGATGCACGGGAATTTTAACATGCTGAAGAAAAATTGGATTATTTTTTAAGCCAGACCAGCCTACTTTCACAAAAAGGGCAGCCCGATCTATGAAACTAATCACTCTAAAGCATAAAGGTTAACCAGCCTACTTTCACAAAAAGGGCAGCCCGATCTATGAAACTAATCACTCTAAAGCATAAAGGTTAACGAGCATCCACGTAATTTGATTAACCAGTGGCACAAATTTGAATTGATCCTAAATAGTATCCGTGCAACCATATAATCGTGAAGCATGAAATGAGAAAACTAACACTGAATGCGACCAGTCTCTTCATCGCGATCAATAGCATCTCCTTGGATATTTTGTTGCGAGAACGGCGACTTATCACCCAACAAACTACAATTTAAGAACGCAATGCAATAAGCCATCAAACATTCGATTGTCTGGTGAATGACTAAGCTCCGAAATCAAAGGCTTAGAAATGCAATTCGAGTAGTTTGAAGTAGTTAATTGAAAGATTTGCAGAAAGTAATCAACAATACCGGAAGAAGAGCCACTCGAGAAGAGCATAGCGCTCTTGAAAGATTTGCAGAAAGTAATCAACAATACCGGAAGAAGAGCCACTCGAGAAGAGCATAGCGCTCCATGCCGGCGAAAAGGAGGGACTGAGCAGGAGCATTGGCTCTAGGGTAATTGAGCGTTGACAGCTTCTTCTGAATCTCTTCCATTTGCCTCGCTGCCATCTTCGCCTTCGTTCGTCTGTCACTCTACTTTTTGAAATTCTGGATATTACAGACCGCTCTCTCTCTCTCTCTCTCTCCTTAGACCATCCCTCTCAGATCGGAGCAGAATCAAACTGAACCGAACCGTCGACGGATTCTTCAGCCACTCCGAGACGCTAAGATCTAACCCGCTGACCGTGCGTGGTTTTTTTTTTTAGCTAAATTAAAAAAAAAAAGAAAAAAAAATATATATATATATATATATAACTTTTAAAAATATATAAAAAAAAAATAGTGATACTATTCATTTGAATTTATTTCAAAAAAATCTTTAAAATTTTATAAAAAAAAATTAAAAAATAGTATTAAATACTCATAAAATTTTAAAACTGAAATTATCTGGTCTTTCTAAAAAAAGAAACATTAAAAATGTTCGCTACATCCTACATCATATGACATCAATACTCAAATCTTCGATATAAAAACAGAGGAAAGATGATGAAATATTGAAAACTAAGAAAGTAACGTGACAAACAATAAAACATACCTAGTCAATCGAAAAGTCAAAATCTACCGTCTTATTAGTCACGACCCGAGAAGTCAAATCCAAAGTCAAGGCTAACCCCACCTCGATCGAGTCAAAGATAAAACCTAACTATTGACTGTTGGATGATGAAAGTCCCACATCGGTTAATTTAGGGAATGATCATGGGGTTTATAATCTAAGAATACACTCTTCATTGGTGTGAGGCCTTTTGGGAAGCCGAAAGCAAAGCCATGAGAGCTTATGCCCATTGTGGAGAGTCGTGTTCGTCTAACATTGACAACACACTAAGAGCTCAAATTGAAGGTAAAAAGTTCATCGTGGATTTGTTGCTTTCTCACTAAAAACACGTGTGAAGAGTTAGTCAACGAGCATACACGACTCGTTAATATAGCGAGGCTTTGTAAGAAGAGGGTTACACTAACGAAACAACTTTGATAGTCGTTATGAATGGACTCAAAGTCATATCCAATAACAGGAGTTTTATGATCAACTCGACTCCAAGAAATTTCATTCACGATTTTATCTGTTATCAAAGCTTCCTCGAAAATAATATCACTCTTTGACGTTCAAGCTAAATTTGAGATTGAATTATACATCTTAAATGAAAGTGAACTCAGTAGCCGATACCCTCTTCGACCCGACACCTGAGTCATAAAATAAAACAAAACTCGATCCGCTCAAAACCCTAATTTATTAACTCATAATGGGGTAGGTTTTTTTCTTCTTTTTTTTTTTTTTTTTTTTTTTTTTTCAAAGGGGGGCATTTCCACGTTGGGTGCTGACCTGGCATCCAGACAGAATGCTTGAATGTTTTGACACGTGGAATTTGGTTTGCTTAAGGAGTACGAAGTTTGCGTTACCTTGCTGATCTTGCTTTGTCATTTCTCTATTCTGAAATTTCATCTCTCCAAGCTTAATAATAATTGATGCTTTTTAAATTATTGATTCTATTTTTTTAATTTTCGCTTCTAAACCACGAAATTTTATATTTATTATATTCCATTTTAAATAATTGCTATAAATACTATATTTATTATAATTCAACAACATTTTGATGAAAATTATATTAATTAAATATTTGTTATAAAAAGAGATGAAAGTGTAAAAGAAGCCAAGGATTTTGAATGCATTGAAATTATAAGAGAAAATAGAAAATTTAAAATAATAATTCATTGGAAAAGGAGGAGGAATCATATCAAGCCACGTGTACTAGTGTGGGACCCTCGGAGAATAGTCGGGTTTAGATGGAGCTTCCCCCTCCACAGTCCACCGCCACCCACCCACCAAACTGGTGATGGTGTGGGCGGTGGCTCGGTGGGCCGTGGTGGTGGGGAACGGTGTCGTTTCGTTGAGTTTGAACTTTGAATAGAATTCTAGGGCGGTGGAAGGGCGTAAGAAAGAGAAAGTAGGGTTGGACGTTTTGCGGCAATAACTCGTGTTTCCAAAATTAATAATAAATAAATTTTAAATAAAATTAAAACCAGTTTAATATCGCTTTCATTTTCTTATTTTTTTTAATTTTAGTTCATTTTCTCGCCCTTTTTCGTACCATAATTTTAGTCTTTCTTATAAAATAATTGAATTAAAAAAAATTAATTTCCTTTAATTTTCAAAATTTTATGAAACCATAAGCATTAATTAATTTAAAATTATAAAAATTATAAAACTAACTTTTATCTTTGAAAATTAATAATTTCTCTTTTAAATATACAAGGAGACTTTACAATTCCGGCTAGCCGACGGTGGCTGAATTGGGGCGGGTAACGGGTGTACACACACATGGTGGTGGTGGCCGGTGGGGGGCCGGTAATGTGGGGTCCACCTAGTGGGACCTTTGACACAATTAGAGAGAGGCATGAGCTTCACAGCTTTACAACCAGGAGTTTACCTGTCAATTCTTTTTTTTTTTTTTTTTAATT